AGAGGCAGGAGACTCACTTGAGCCCAGGAGTTGGAGGTTGCTGTGAGCTATGATGCCACAGCACTCTACCCAGGGGGATAGCTTGAGGCTGTATCTCAAAAAAAAAAAAAAGTGGCTATATCGACCTAAGATATAGTTTTTACCACTGTGGCAGTTTCCTGGGGAATCTTAGGGCAAGGGCAGATGTTAACTACCCTCACCCTCCTGGGCCTTGTATGACAAAGTTTATGCTGCTGTGTGTGTGTGTGTGTGTGTGTGTGTGTGTGTGTGCTTCTCGTGCACACCCTTTTCCCTGACATATCATGCCCATTGTGTTTTCTTCCCATTTTTTGAATGTTTTTTTGTTTTTTTTCCATTTTGCTGTTTATTTTCTTGCTGTGTCCCTTTTTGCCCTTTCTCCCTCCCCACACCCTGGCTTGTGCAATCCCTATGACTATCACTAACAGCCGTTGCCGAGAAATGGATGAGCAGATCAGACTGATGGACCAGAACCTGAAGTGTCTGAGCGCTGCTGAAGAAAAGGTACTAACCATTACAACCACAGCAAGGTTATATGTACAGTGTAGTTTTGTTTTGTTTTGTTTTTGTTTTGCAGCTACCTCCCCTCCTCTGGTTGATTTGTTGAGTGCGTTCTCATCTCTTCATGGAATGCTCCATTCCTTTCCACTTACTTAGCATCTTTCATCTGTTATTTCCTAATTGCTTCACTGCCTCTCCACAGGGTCTCTCCTTCCCTTGGGTGATTTGGGGGACTGTTTAGGTTGGGCATCTGTTCCCACCTCTACTCAGGTAGCAGGTAGTTATGACTTGTTCCTGGTAGTGATTTCTCTCAAATGTGCTTTCTTCATTAGTATCCAAAAATTCCAAGCTCAGGAAGATCCAGCTCCTGACATGTTCTGTGGCAGAGGAGGGAGGGTTGATGCTGCTCAGGTTACCTGGGAACTTCTCTTCCCCCCGCCGTGCCTTCCAACTCTATCTGCATATAGGTTCAATTCATATCTATATGTCTCTCCCTTTTTTTATTCTTTTCTTTTTCCCTTTTCCTCTCCTGTGGTATTTAAAATATTCACAGTAAGTGTTCTGAGCTGGAGGAGGAGCTGAAGAATGTCACCAACAACCTCAAGTCTCTTGAGGCTCAGGCGGAGAAGGTAGGGGCTAGTTTGTAAAAGTGACAGGCTTTGGGGCCTGGGCCCAGCCCTGCCCTTGATGGAAGACTGGAGGCACCTATTCCTTGTATAATCCAGTGAGATGGGTCCTCTTCCTATATACATACAGTCTATTCAGATTCAGGGTTTAATGCTAATTTCTGTGCAGTTTGATTACTTTAGTTAAAAATCATGGTCTCAGGTACATGGAGTCATATACTGCTCAGGCTAATGCTGCTGTGCTGAAGGGAAGGGGTCTAATAGACTTTCTAGCAGACAGATGGGAATGACAGAATCAACTCTGAGACCGAATGGCAATCCAGACAGATGACCTCTCTACATGATGTGGGAGTGTTTCAGCCATATGTCCATGGGGTTTGACACTACTCCTCATTAAACAGGAGAAAGAAACAGTACCTCCTTGTGTTAATCTGAATGAGATGAAAGCTCAGGTTCATTTTAAGAATAAAGTCATGGAGAATTTTAATCTGAGGATTTCTAAGCTCTAAAGCCATATATTTTTGGATTTTAAGGACCTGTCATTCAGAACAGGGCATTACTCGTACTCTTCAATCATTTAGCACATTAAATCTAAGAGCATATTCAATGTAAGAGTAAACATGGGGGGGAGGGTATTGTCTGTGTGACTAATTTCTATTCTCAAATTTATATTCTATTTTTCTACAGTATTCTCAAAAAGAAGACAAATATGAGGAAGAAATAAAGATTCTTACTGATAAACTCAAGGAGGTGAGCTGAGGGGATTATAGGGAGGTACCAAAACATTTGGAGATATATAAGGCATGTGAACTTTGGTTGTCTTTGGTTCTGAAAAAGTCTAGAAGTAGAAGGTAGAAGAAATAGAGATTTTCCTCTTCTATCTTTATCTCTAATTCTGACTGATTTCATGCCCCCCAGGCAGAGACCCGTGCTGAGTTTGCTGAGAGATCGGTAGCCAAGCTGGAAAAGACAATTGATGATTTGGAAGGTATGGAACCTGGGAGAGGGGTTGAAATAGAGAATACAGAGGAGACCACTTTGCCCATTAACTATTAGTCTCTTCCTGTACACCAAAGAGAGCTGGTAGTGACTTGGCATATATCCCTGCCCATCTTATGCCTCAGCTGGACAAACTAGGTCAACCCCTCACAATGGATTTTTGCATTTGATCTTTTTTTTTTTTTTTTTTTTTTTTGAGATGGAGCCTCAAGCTATCCCCCTGGGTAGAGTGCCATGGCATCACAGCTCACAGCAACCTCCAACTCCTGGGCTCAAGCGAGTCTCCTGCCTCAGCCTCCCAAGTAGCTGGGACTACAGGCGCCCGCCACAACACCTGCTCATTTTTTTGGTTGCAGCCATCGTTGTTGTTTGGCAGGCCTGGGCTGGGGATTCGAACCCGCCACCTTAGGTGTATGTGGCTGGCGCCTTAGCCACTTGAGCCACAGGCGCCAAGCCGATCTTTTTTTTTTTTTTTTTGAGATAAAGTCTTACTTTGTCCCCTCTGTCCAGTACTATGGCATCATAGCTCATAGGAACCTCAAACTCTTGGGCTTCAGCGATTTTCTTGCCTCAGCCCTCCCAAGTAGCTGGGACTACAGGGGCCCACCACACACACACACAAAGAAAAAAAAACGGCTATTTTTTAGAGACGGGTGTCTTGCTCTGGCTCAGACTGGTCTTGAACTTGTGAGCTCAGGCAATCACCTGCCTCTTTCTCCCAAGTGCTGGGAGTACAGGCATGAGCTACCATGCCTGGCCTCTTGATCTTTTTCTTTATTAAGACTTTAATATTCTGGAATTTGCCTCCTTCCATTTGAGGAAACTGCTAAAGACTACATTTTTATTTAGTGGTCTTGAATCTTTAATATGTAGGTTTAAGTGGAAGCCATGATTTCACTCCACAAAAGTTGTAAGGTACTTCTGCAAGAAATGAAGTTGTGGAATAGCTATGTCTCACCACTGACCAAAGCCAGAGGCTTTCTAAATAGTTCTATCCCTGCAGTTTGGCAGCTGGGTGCATCCTGACAAGGGAAAGTATCCTCTGCTTTGAGAACTCTGAGATAGGCTCCTTTGGTATGCTCTCAGTAGCAAGAGGTTCTTGGGAAGAGTGCGGGGAGGCAACTGTGGAGCAAAGGGCCGCAAACAGGCCTTATTCTTGGGCCATTCAGCACATTAAGGGTCACAGTAGAGAAGTGTCTGAATATGGATATGTACTTTCTCCCTTTTCTAATTAAATTTAAGTGTTATCATTGTGAGGAATTGGATGGCTGGGCGGGGGTTGTATCTTCTCAAGTGCCTCTGGCAATAGGAATTTCTAGTCACGACTCTGTCCCAGTTCTCAACCTTTGCTACAGCTGATGAGGGGCATCAAGAAGTGCATTCGGGCTCAGTGCCTGTGGCTCAAGTAGCTAAGGTGCCAGCCACGTACACCCAAGGTGGCGGGTTTGAATCCAGCCTGGGTCGCCAAACAATAATGACGGCTGCAACCAAAAAATATAGCCGGACGTTGTGGCGGGCGCCTGTGATCCCAGCTACTCCAGAGGCTGAGGCAGGAGACTCGCTTGAGCCCAGAGGTTGCTGTGAGCTGTGACTTCATGGCACTCTAGTAAGGGCAACAAAGTG